GTCATGGTAATTCTTGGGGTTACTAAAAAATTAATCAAAAAACTGCCAGTTTTTTCTCCTGAATTTTTTGTTTTTTTTAATACCTTTTTTATTTAATACCTCTTTTCTATTTTGTTCAATGATTGTAAAATTTTATTCATGTGCTGATCAAATGAATTCAGTGTTTGTTGTGAAAAATAATAAAATTTTACATAAACAGGAAATTTTGTTTTTTTGAGTTGGATGAAAAAAGTGATATGTGAAAAAATGAAAATTTTTATTATCCACAAAATTCGTTGATAATCATCGAATTTCAATATTTTTCAATTTAAGAAATTTAAGAGATTTGAGAAAAAAAGTGAACATGAAATGATGTAAGAAATGCCCTGTACATTTTGTTGTTGTTAATTAATAACGATTTTTTTCTCTTGATTCTGGATTTTCCAAAATAATTCGATACGATTTGTCAACAATAATAGCTTATTGAAATCTTTGTAAATTTTGTTTTGACAAATAAATTTTCTTGTTTTTTATTTAAAAAATTTTTTTTAAAATAGGTAATGATGATAGAATCTAATTTTTTTCGTTGCAATAAAAAATCTATTTACTTCATTTAAGTCATTAATGATGTTTGTTTTTTTCGAAATTATCAACTTGATTGATTGATTTGATTCTTGATTTTTTTTCGGTTGTTGAAACAGTATATAAAAACAGCTTCCAACAAAAAAAAACATTCTCAGAATCACAAATCATTAAAACAATTTTCTCAAACCTCTTTTTTTCAAACAACAAATGATTTTGAATTGTGAAACGAAAATGAAAGTCATTATCGCTTTTATATTTGTTTATGTTGCAATTACAACAACGGTAACTGGTTATGGTTTTGGTTGGAGATCACCATTCTATGGACTTGGTTATGGTAGACATTATACACCATTTTCCTATGGTTATGGTCGATATTCACCATTATCTTATGGTTATGGTTATCGTCATTCGCCAATTTCCTATGGATATTTACCAAGATCCTATGGTTATGGTTATCGTTCATATCCAGTATATCCATCATATGGTTTTGGTTATGCTGGTATGCCCGTATATTGATTTATTCATTGGTAGGTAGTCATTATTGAATGATTATTGAAATTTCAACAACAACAACAAAGAAAAGAAAAATAAATGAATAAATCTATTTGGTCAGCTTTTTTTTTTGGTGGATTTTTTACATTTATTACAATAACCTGATTTTTTCATAAAAAACGACAATATTAAAAGAAAAATTTTCCACTCAAACTTTATTTCTGTGCCTGTATAAGATTGATTATTCTCTTCGTGTGTTTTGTTTTTGTCAATCATTTATTTCTGGATAATTTGTTTTAATATTACAATTGGCATGACCAATAATGTAATTGTAATGTAATATCAGATTAAATATTTTGAATAATAAAGCTTTACTTGAAGACAAAAAAAAACGGCTATCTTGAGTTGAGTGAAAAAAAATGAAAGAAAATGATTGAAAATTTTATTCGAATTGATTCCATTGTTAATTGCAAAGAAAATAATTTACAATTTTTTAAAATAGAAAAAAAAGTACAAGGTCATATATCATGTAATGATTATGATGATGATCAAGGTTTTTTTTGTAAATTGTATATGTTTGTAAATTCATCATTTAAAATGTTTATTTTATTTTTATTTTTTTTTTTTTTTTGGTACAAACTTACACACCTGGCAACCGGTTTGATAAGAATCAAATTCTCAAAGATTCTTAGAAATAAAATAAAATCAAAGTAGAATCGAAAATTAATTTTCATTATTTCATCTCTCATTTAGATTAATATCAAAGATAAGAGAATGGAAAAATAACTTTCGTTTGTTGTTATTCTTGTTTAAAATATTGATCATTAATTTATTGACGATGTTGTTGTTTTCGATTTTTTTTTCGCAAACAAAAACAAATACAGTGTGATGAGATTTTGTTGATAATGATGTCATCAACAACTAGCCGCCGATCCAGATTTTTAATGTTCGATGGGTTTTTTTTCTCCTCTGTGTCTGCGTAAATTTAATGATTCAAGTTTTGTTTTGCCTTGAAAAAAAATTAATTTTTTTCGAAGAGGACCTTGTTTACATTATAGAATTATTCGATTCTAATGAATTTCTGCTGTCCTGTTGTTAAGCTATTTAGATTTAATACAATTTTCTATTGATAACATTGTGGTAGAGAAATTCAAGTTTTTTTTTTTTGTTGCTTCAGTTCAATATCGATCAAATATCTTGATATTTGTTGCTAACCATAACTTATTCTTGTCATTATAATCGTTGTTGTTGTTTTTCTTGTCAATAATGATGATGATGACGATGATAATGGGAGAGAAAATTCACATAAAAAGCTCGATAGCCAATACAATCCAATTGAATTTTGTTTGTTTGTTTGTTTTTGTTGTTTTTTATCAAGAATTTTTTCAGTTTCAAAAATAATGAAATTTTTAATTATTTTGGCCACATTTTTAGTGGCTGTTAATGGTGATCATCATCATCAACAACAACAACAACAAGGATACAATGTTCAACAACAACAACAACAACAACAAAAACCAAAATTGTATTCATCGAATGCAATGGTTGATTCGGTCCATAAAGTTGTTCCATCATCATCATCATCATCATCATATCAACAAGCTGATGGTCGATATTATTATTCAATGAAACCACAACCAACACCAGTAATATCGGATAATCAATATTATTCAATGCCAAAAATGTATTCACAGGCCGGTGGACATACTGGTTCGGGTTATATGGTACCCATATCTTACAGTGGTAATTATATTCATAATCCAAAATATTATCCAACTGCAGTTATTCCATCATCTGTATCGGATGCTGGTTATGGATCATCATCAAGATATCTCTATGGAAAACCGACAATATTTCTTGTTGGTCGATCATTTGATGGATCTAATATGTCTATAAGTGAAATTGTTCCTAATGTTACCGATGTAAAAAATGTTGCCGTTTCTTCCGTTCCAGTTAATGTTCCATCAATGACCAAAAAAATGAATACTGTTAATATTGTTGCTGGTAGATCATCAATCCAACCATCATATCAACCACCAGTCGTCTGTAATACTCAACCACCATCTGGTTATCAACCACGTAGTTTTCTTTGGGAAATGGAAAACATTGTTGTACCATGGCTTCAATATCGTGGCCTATTAAGATATTCAACACCATTAAATTCAGCTATTCCACCATGGGATGGTGTAAGTAAATATTGGACAGCTATTCATACAGATGATTCACCATGTGGAATTCGATATGTTTATATGCAAGATGAATTGGAACGTATGTTTCAATCACATTTAATTTATGAACAACAACAACAACAACAACTGCCACAACAACCGAACCGTGTTTTACCCGGAACTGCCATTAGCCATCATCCAAATCAACAACCACATTATCCACATCAACCACAACAGCCACAATATCCACAACAACCACATTATCCACAGCAGCCACATTATCCACAAAAACCACAATATCCACAACAGCCACATTATCCACATCAACAAAAAACGATTCAAAATTCACCAATCATTGTAGGCAGCGGTGTACCAGTTATGGATAATTCTCATATTACCGGAATTCCTGTTGGACATAGTGGATCGATGAAAGCATAAATTTTTTTTTATTTTGATTCCTTAAATAAAATTTTTTTTATTTGATTGGGCTTACCATGATTTGATTGATTGATTGATTGAATAAAAAAATGAAAAAATTTTTGATTTTATTTCAAAAAAAAACAAACAAAATAAAAGCAAAGTTATGGCCACAAGATGGTGCTCAATCCGACTAAAAATATTACATTTTTGTTCCATTTAAAATTTAAAAATGTAATGAAATTACACAATCAAGATATGAAACATGAACAAAAAAAAAAAAGATCCATTAAATTCCTTTATTCACTATGGCCTGTAGATGCATTTAGAAGTGCAACAAAAATGAAAAGAAAATAAAATCATATAATCAATTTGGAAAAATCGAATCAATTTCAATATAAGAAACAAAACGGTTTCTTCTTCTGTTCTCTTTCGTAATCAAATTTCATTTTCTTAGAGAAAAAAAAATGAAAGAAAGAAAGAAAGAAAGAAATCACCCGTTTCATGTATACAAATTTGCCATTAATCAGCATTTTCTGATTCTTTCAATTAAATATTTGTTTTGTCTTTTTTTTCCATTTAATTTATTCCATTGAAAAAAATTTTTTTTCCATGATGATGATTCTGAATTCAATGATGAATTTCGTTTTCTTTCTTCTCAATCAATGTTTTTATTGAGAAATTTTTTTTCACCTCATTCACACACACATAACAGCAATTTATGTCAAAGGCCATCCATATAATGTTGATGATGAAATGGATTTTTTCCTTTAAAATATAAATTGCTGATTGATTGATGATGACTAACCAGGAATATTTAGTTGATATATAACCTATATGATATAAAAGAATTTAACCATTCGAAAATATATTTCAAGATTCCTATTGATGATGAAAGAATGAAAGAATATCGATTTCAATTTTGCAATAAACATTGTTGGTCGTATTTTGAAACCAGAAAGAGTGAGTAAAATAAACATTAAAATTTCATGTTTTTCCGATAGGAAAATGCAATTTTTTTTTCTTCGAAAAACCAATCAAAATGATGATTATTATTATTTTGGTAACGCGTTTACATATATTTGACATTACAAAATTATGTTTGTTGAAAATGATGAAAAATGAATAACGGAAATTCTTGTTGAATCTCTTCATTTTTTTTTGTGGTTGTTGTTGCCATTCACCCATTACAAACAAACATGACTTGTAAATGAGGTAATATATGGTGAGAATTGAGAAAAAAAAAGTTTCTTTTTGTAAATATATTCCAAATTGATGATTGATTGGTAAAAGAGAGAAAAAAAGCTTTTGAGCTAGATTCTGAATGAATGAAAGAAACAGAATTTTTTTTCTTGGTTACAGTTTTGTTTACTGTTTCCTGAATCATAAATTAAGATTTGAATTTTTTTTTTCAACATCTTTACTCAATCTCTCTCACACCCGACTTATTTTTGTTTTTTAAGGAAAAGTTTCTGTTTTGTTGCATTTAAAAAAACCAAAGAAACCGAATTTTCCAAGTGTTTTCCATGCCGAACAGGAAAAGAACATTTATTTATTATTTTTCTTTTTGGCTGAAGAATTCGGAAAAAATCAATTTTTCAATTTAAAATTACAACGACAACAACAAAGACTTTTCAACGGATACATTAACAAAAACAAAAAATTTGAAAAATTATTAATTGAAAAATTTTCATCTTGATAGAATTTTCTATTGGCTATCGTAAAAATTGATGACCATTATTTGGACGTCTTGTATAATTATTACGCATGATTCTATTATTTTGATTATGATTATTATTCATCATCATCGTCATCATCGTTCTTGATGATGATGATTGAATTTCATTTGAATTCATCATATTTCTTGAAACGAACTGATTATTATTAATATTATTCACTCTATTTCTTGGAATTGTTGATGGATTTTGTATGGAAATGCCATCAGTTGTTGATGATGATTGAGATGAATTTGTATCACGAAAAAATTTAACAACACGTCCATTTAATGGTTGTGTATGGCGATAATTTTCAATTAAATGTCCACCAAAATTGGTTTCATTTTCACTTGTATAGAATAATTTACGAAATTTGGCAATCTAAAATTCATTTTTTAAAAAGATTGATTATTTTTATTGATTTCAGAAGGGATTTTGAAAATTTAAAATACCTGTTCATGTTGACTATAAATCGGTGTTGTATAAATGATCCATGTAACTGATTCAAATAATGGTGGTGTTGTTAGCGAACCATTATATGTCCAATATGAACGATTTGTTGGCATTAATTTTTCAATATCAATCGATTCATCAATCATACGTTTATCACCTTTATATTTAACAGTTTCAATTTGTTTAAGAACTTTTTCTAAACCATCATTCAATTGATAACCAATATCGATAAATACGGCAACAACAGCTAAACCATTTGGTTTTGTTAATGCAATTTCTGGATCATTATATAATGATGTATTCCAATGTACAAAATGTAACTAATTTTTGGTAATCAATTGTAGTTATGCAATTGAATAGTGAAAAGAAAAGAATAAGATTTTTGTTATTGTTTTATTTTTGTCGAAAATTTCATAGGAAAAAGTGAGAAAAACAAACCATCATCAAATCTTCATCATATGCTTTTTCTCGAACACCTACTTGATGATAATCAAATTATTATTGATGAATAACTTGTTTTTTTTCGCTTTTTATCTAACTATTTAGATTTATAACTCATTTTCATTTTCACATTTTCGCTTGTTTGCTAATTTATTGCATTCATCCATCATTATCATCATCAAAGATGATTGAATGAATGAATGTTTGTTTTTGTTTGTTTAGAATCATTGAATAAACATCAAGAATAACAACAACAACAACAACAACAGTTCAATATATTCATTGATTAGGTTATAGTTTGTTGTTGTTGTTGTTATTATTATTATTATAAAACATTCTATAATAATAAATTAATTTTTTTTCCAATTCATTTAATCAGAATTTACTTACTTCAGCTGAATAACTACGTTTATTAACAGTATGTTCAGAACCAATATTAATATTTGGTCCCCAATGACAATGAAATTGCCACATACGATAAATATGTCCTTTTAATGGACCACCAATCAATTCTTGTTTTAGTGTAATTTTTTTTAATACATTTGTAAAAATGGAAGAAAAAAAAGAGAAAAAATTCTGTCATTTTTAATGATAATCATTTCAGATAAATCAATCTTTGAAAAAATTCGGAGATTCTTTGAAAAATTGAATCTGAAATTTCTAATAAATAAAAAAACAAAACAAAATAATGAAAAATATTTACCAGTTTTAGCTGCAACCATATCCGGTAAATCTAATTTCCAACCATAACCAGTATTCTGTATAATTAAATTTGACATTAATTTTGGATAAATAATTTTTAAACATTTTGTTCGTTTTAAATCATTCAATTCTGAATTCATTTCAACTAATGATGTATCAATATCGATTGGTGATTGTCTTTGACCAGTATCAACTGAATTTAATAATAATAATTGTTGTTCATTATTATGTCTTTTTTTACGTAAATTTTTTTGATCATTATCATCAACAATATTATTATTTGCATTGACAATATTGGTACAATTTGCACCCATTATATTATCATTTAAATTTCATTGATATTCTGGTAAATGAAGAACATAGATAAAAGAACATAGAAAAAACACAATAAATTCACATCATATTCTTGGATAATGAATCGAAATAATTGGCGAAAATCGAGCAGAATAAAATGTCTGTGTTTTGATTCGAGCAACGCTTTTTTTTGGTTGCTTTAGAAATTCGATTGAAGAATTCGCAAATAAGTGGTGAATGGAGGGAAACCAACCAAAAAGAAAAAATGAAGAAGAAAACAAAACCGCATTTAATAAGCAATAAATTCCAAATCATTGCTCACCGAATTAATAACAATAAAAAAAACACACAAAGCTTTTTACGTTTCATTGAATCCAATTGGATAATAATAATAATAATAATTTTTTTTTTGTTGTTGTAATTGATTCATTTCACTTGGAAATTATTATTATCTTTGAAAATTGTCGTCATAAAATTGATTAAAAACGAGAAAATAATAATGATCATTTTATATCTATTGATTTCAATCATTTTGTCGTCATCGTTTGTGTACAACGTCATTGTAGTAAAAAAAGAAAAGAAAAGTTTATCCATTCTATATTAATTTCAAATCAAAATTATCAATTGATTGTTTTTTTCCTTTTTCAACATATTACCTACCTGATATAGTATATATGGGGGGTGTGATTGATTGAAATTTTTATTTTATTTGAAAAATTTTCTTTTTTTACTTGTAAATGTCATTCACATCGTTTAGGCGAAACGAAAAACACATTAATTTTAATTATTATTTTTAATTAATTTTTATTCTTCATTTTAGTCATTACGTAAATTCAAATGAAAATTCGAAAAACAAATTTACGTCAATCATTTTCGGTGTATTTGTTTGTTTTTTGTCACATATCATCTGATTGAAATAATCGGTTGAACAATAACAAAAAAAAAAAAGTTTGTAAAACTTGAATTTAAATCATTCAGAAAAAAATGATGATTTGGGGGATGGGAGAAAATTCATTATATTTTCATTTTGTTTTGCATCTCATTACGATTCTACAATTTTTTCATTGAACCAAAAAAAAAAAACGTTCGATTCAAAAAAAAAAATGTTGGCCATAACAATCGATTGTTTGATGATAATCGATTGTTACCGAAAACAAATTCAAGAATACATTTATTCATTCAAGAATTTCATTATTATGGTCAACCAAAAACAAACAAAAACAGAAATGGAAATAGATTATCACAATGAAGATCATATCAATGATGATCACGATTGATCTTGTTTATTCATCTGTGTTTTTTTTGCTGCTTATCAAAAATTATAATGAAAATGATGATGACGATGATATTCGGAAATTATGCATCAAAGAAGATGCATAAAATATTAAACTAGAGAAAAAAAAACCAAAAAAAATTATTGGATAAAACCTAAAGAATTTCATTTTCATTTTCATTCATGTATGTTTATCATCTAAAAATATGCATAATATTTTATACTTTATTATTAAATAATTTTTCATACTTTTCCATCATTTGCATACTAAACACACAGACACAGACACAGACACAAACACCGAAATTCAATTCACTTTTTTAAGGACACAAACACCTACACACTGAATAAATAGAATTTTCCGTATATATACAAGCCACAAATGCCATTTCTAAGTAAGGAAATCAATGATGATGACGACAACGACAAAAAAAACAACAACATCGACAAACATAGATAGAGAAAAATGATGATTATCCATTAAGAAATTCATCATACCCGCAAGATTCATTATATACATTGCAATAAACAAAATGAAGCAATTTAAATTTTTCTTTCGTAAAAAAACGTTTTCGTTGTTGTTGTTGATTTTTGTTCTCAGGAATCGATTTCTTACGATTAAACTCTTTGAATATTATGTTGTAAATAAAGATGTTTCGTAATCTGGTTGCTGTTGTTGTTTAAGCTTAAATTTAAGCTTGTTCGGTAAATCAATCGATCATAATCAGATTTTAAATTTGTAACTTTATTTTTTTGTATTGTTATTTGATCTTATGTTTATAATTACAACATCAACAGTGAAGAAAAACAAAACTGAATAAAGTAACCGAGAGATTATTTTGATTTTCTCAAAAAATAAAATTTTGTTGTTTGCTAAACAAACAAAAGAAAATTGACTGAAATTGAAATGCCAACAAAAAAAAACTAAAAAATTTCTAAAGAATTTTTAATGAAAAAAAAGAGTAATTATAAAAAAATTTGGAAATTTTTCAATCAAAGAAAATTGAAAAAA